CTGGGGGCCTGGCCATGCCGTCTCTCCCCACAGCCGGACCCTACTACTCGCCATATGCGCTGTACGGACAGAGACTAGCCTCAGCCTCGGCACTTGGATACCAGTAACTACAGCTCTTCCTCCCGCCCGCTCCCTGACCCTCCCCCAGCCTCCTGGCCTGGCCGCTGCAACCTCCACTACTGCTTGTCCTGCCAGATGTCCCCGCCCATGCCCTCCCCACTGGACTGTGTATTTATTTACTATAATGTTAGCTTACAAGCTGGGAATATAAGTGCATTAACGGCCCACACGAGTCAATGGTATGCAAAAAGTCTGTTTTCCCCAAATAATATTAATCACACAAGTAACTACATGCTCCCCGTCCCACTTCCTTTATTTTTTCTTTTTCTTAGATATGTTTTAATTTGTTTTCCTTTTGCTTTTTTTTTTTTTTTTGGTTTGGTCTTAGGGGAAGAAGGAGAGTTGGGCTTCTGGGGTTCTTCTCTTTGTTTTGTTCTCCCTTCCTGGGGAGTTTCTTGCATGCTTCTTAACCATTAAAACTACATTTCCCCCTTTTCCCTTCATTCCCTCATTTTCTTCCATTTGAGATTCTGTTTTTACCTTTGTACCAGAAACAGAGAGGAGATATTTTTTGTAGCGTATTTGGAGGGTGCAGGGAGGGGCCTTGGTGGCAGGAGGTCTTGCCTCTGTTGACCCAGAACTCTACTCTGTGACTTCTCCCCTGCAGCCCTCTCCTCCCAGGGTCCCTGATCTTTGCCCTGGCCCCCCAAATTAGAGCCTTTCTTCCCTACCTTGCTCTGCGTACGGAGAGCCCTGAGAGAGGGACCCCAGTGGCCTTGGACAGAGCCCTTCTGCTTCCAGACTCTTCTGACCCCAAACACTGCCCGCTGGGTAGGAAGGAGGGGACTGGTCCTATAGGGCTCATCTTATTCAATTAAAAGTCCTAGAAGGCCTTGCCGGCATGAAACTTTGCTTTTTATATTTTGCAAAGTGCTTTTATAGTCATTGTTTTTCTCTCCGTTATTGGGGCAGTGGTCCCTCTCCTGGCAGTGGGGGGTGGCGTCAGCGATCCTTGCTAGATCCCTCCAAAGCAGACCAGTGGCACTATCAGCGGGCAGTACAACCTTTTAGCTCCGTTGGGGGAAGGCTGGACGGTAAAGGAGCATACAGATCGCAATAGCCCCCCTTCATCCCTTCCCAGGCTTGTCCCAACAGATTCCCCAAAGTTGGGGACTTCCTTGGGCTCCCTCGATGACTGGGATTGAAGACTTGGGCCCTGGGTCTTCTCCCCACACCATCCCTTCTCTTATGCAGCATCGTGGGGAGGCTTCGGGGCCTCTCTGGGATGAATAGAGCTCTCCCTTGGTAAGACTTATTTTGTTAATAAATGAAATACTTGGCTATATTCACACCGTGGTGTGTTTCTCTCTTGCCTCACCCACCACCCCACTTCCAGATACCCAAGCAGATGTCCTTCTTTTATTCTTGTTTAAAATACCTTACGGTTTCCTTCTCAGGTTTCTGGTCAAGGACAAGTTTAATGTCTTTCCTTGAGAAAAGGGGGAGAAAAAAACTGCCAGCGCATTACAAATTACATAAAACCACCTTTATTTTTTTTCCACTTGGTTATTTACTTTCCAGCCTCACTTCAAAGGCCTTAACATTTCCTGGGGACAGGGTGGAGAGTGTGTACATGTGGATTTTCCTCTGGACCTAGATTCGAGGTAAGAGGGGCTGTGAGGGAACCAGCACAGAGGCTCCAGCCAGGCAGCACAGTCCCAGGCCTCAGGGTGAGCAAAGACGACGTGCCTCTGGCGCCACCTGGTGGCGGGCAGCTCCTGGCGCCTGCCCCGACGGCACCGGAGGCGCTTCCCACTCTAAAGGCGAGGGTTTCCTCTTTGCTGACAAAGCCTTTATACACCTGAAACCGAAGGGTAAACGCACCTGCTGACGGGGGCGCTTCGCAAGGCTTGGAGGCTCCCTAATGCCCGCACCGGGTAGCTCATCCCAGGTATCTGCGCTCCCAGAGACTCCTCCACGGGGATTGGGTTTTGCTGAGAAGTCGGGGCGATTACTTGGGACCTTGAAATCACCCTGGGTCCCTGTTTTCTTGATCTCGCACGACTGACACTGACTTCGTCCTCGGGCAGGCGAGGGTGGGGTGCTGTTTATCAGGATGGTGGGAGGCGGGGGTACCTCCCACTGCGCGGGGAGTCCCCGAGGCCGGAGGAGAGGACGCGCGGCTGCGGGGGAAGGCGGGGCCTGAGCCACTGGCCTCTCTGGGGTTGCAGGTTCCGGCTGGCGGACCCCTGGCGCCCAGCTGAATGCACTTCACCATGGCCTGCCTCGCCCCCTCCTGGCCGCACTCCTCCCCGTCGGCACCCCGCGGCCTTGGGGTCTGTTGCTGTGATGGTGTTTTGCGTTGCTTTTCCTGAGGCATGAGATGTATTGGGCAGTTCGTGCTCCACAAACTGTGCGCTTCTGAAACATCTGCAGACCCGAGGTCAAGTGCGGAAGGGGTGGGAGGCGTGCTGGAGAATATGGCAGCGCGGGCCTCGGCCTCACTGGGCGCCATCCCCTCAGTACTTCGCAGAACCTCGGCACGAGATGTTTTTGTAGAGTTTGGGGTTTGGGGGGAGGTTGCACCTGTATCTTTGTTTCTGGGGAAAATTCCTTCATTAGTCAAGAGAACCTCGGCCTTCTTCTGCAGGAACTGTGGGTACTGGACACCCTAAGACCCTAAGCGTGTCCCTGGAGAGGGACCAGGGCTGCTGGCATCACTGGCATCAGGGAAATACTGACTGGCACTGGAGAAGTCACCACCACCACCACCACCACCACCAGCTCAGGCTCCTCCTGGGGAATCGCTGTTACCGGATTTCTCAGAGTTCAAATTGGCCTAAATCTGTAAGAGACCTGAAGTGTAGTGACTTGCTTTAATTTTCCTTTTTCTCTGTTGTGTTTGCTGTAGGTGTTTTCCCACCTTCCTTTTCTCTCAAGTCCCCCCCTCTTTCCTTCAGTGCCTTTTTTTTGTCCTTAAATGTGTTTTTATTGACTTCAGAGAGAGGAAGGGAGAGGGAGAGAGATATTGAAACATCAATAATGAGAATCACTGATCAGCTGCCTCCTGCACACCCCCTACTGGGGATAGAGCCTGAAACCCAGGCATGTGCCCTGACAGGGGAATCAAACTGCGACCTCCTGGTTCATGGGTGGATGCTCAACCACTGGGCCACACAAGCCCAGCTCCTTCAGTACCTTTTAAATTCCTATTAAAACTGCTGGAAATTGCTCCCTCTGCAGGGGGACTTAAACTTTCTCTTCCTTAAACTTTGTGGTCCTCAGACCCCCCTACCTAAGGACCATCCACCTCCTCTTGTTGGGACCATAAGAAGGAAGAATCGGAATCTCTAATAGCAAACTTTCCATCCAGCAAAAGCAGCTTTTCTGTAGCTGCCCTGCTGACAGTGAGGTTTGAGAATGCAGGTTAGACACGCCTCAGACCAGAAAGGTGGCCCCAAATTCCATTGTGACCACAAAGGGTATAGGCATTGTAGTCCGGAGTGTCCCTGTTCTCACCCTGAAATGGGTGACATTCCCAAAAAATGTGGCTGTTTTAATTAGCTGACGGGGAGTTTGTTACTGTTAGTAGCTAAATTCTCATTAAACAAAGTTGCTGTTTTAATAGAGATAATACTCCCCACCGTTTAATTTACATAATTAATTCATCCAGCAACCCTTCTTTGAGCATCACCTCCACCTTCTTCTGTCTTAGCCCTCCTCCCCTTCTTCCTCCTCATCTCTCCCAGGCGCCAGAAGTGGGCCTGTGTTCCTAAGGCCCCCGGGAAGGGTGGAAGCCACAGAGCTGGAACTTGAGACGCTGGGCGTTCCTGGCTCCAAGTCACATTTTCACACCTCTTGCCTGGTTATTTTTGTGGCCTCGTGGGCAGCTGTGGGAGGAAGGGAGGAGAGAGAGGGGAAAGACTCCCCCTCAGATATAGGTTTGACACAAAGAGAATTTCGTGACTGTTCATTTTTAACTTCACAATCACACCCCCCCCAACCCACCTCCTAAGAAATCTGTAGCCCACGTGGGCGTTGAGGGGTCCATCACCACCTTTAGGCCATAACTGCCTGGTCCTACGCAGCAGCCTGTGATGCGTCTCTCAGTATCTGAACTAACTCCTTCCTAATGTATGTCTGGGTTACCATGGCCTTCGTCTGAAAATAGTCCTTTGGCTCTGGGCTTTATTAATCATTCTGTAGGGGAAGCTGCACTCCAGTTTCCTGTTTGATTTGATTTCATTCATCCTGTCTTTTTGTAAAATAGATGGTTGAGTGCATCTGATAATGTATGGTTTAATTTGGCGCACTATGGGTTTGAATTACCATTTTCATAATGTGCTGTGCATTAATGTGTTACATCATTTATAAAGAGGAATGTGCTGGGTTTCAAACTTTTCTCCTGAAAGCCAAAGTCACCTAAAAGAAACAAAGCCAAATCACACCCACCCATCTTCCTACCTCACTACCAGAGAAACTCCTGCCCCCACCCCCACCCCGTGAAACCTGCCAAGGCTCATAAAACCCAACATGAGGCTTTTGTGTTCACATAATGCAGGTGGGTGTCAAGGTTTGGGGGGAACTTGCACATGGCTGCTCAGGAGCCATCAATGGCAGCACAAAGCTTCCCCTCATTATTACATAACAACAGCTTTGCAGCCAGCACCCTTTACGGAGACCTCCAGTGGACGGCTCTCCCTCAACCCTAATCCCAGCACTCCCTCCCCAATAGCTGTAATAACACCAGCTGTCTGTTACTCAAACTCTGACTGAGGAGGAAAAAGCACTGATTATCCAAATACAGTCATTAAAGGGGAAATGTGTTTTTAGGACTGTCAGAGTGATTAATGAGGGCTAGCCGTCTTTGCAAATGCACTTGTTTAGTCTAACTGGCAGCTTCTATTTTCCTATTGATTTATTGCAGCCGTTGCCGGGCCTTGGTGTGTGCGAAGTCAGGGCACTTCACAACTGCGCCCTGTTTAAACAGGAAAAGCATGCACCATTTTGTCCGGGAGGGAGGGAGCAGCCCAAAGTCTCTGCCTTCAGTTCAATCTCCAGGGGCCCAGACCAACAAAGAAGACGTTAAAAACCTGCAGCCCAGAGAGGGAAGGAAACTGCCTCCCCTGGGCCGTCCCCAGTCACTCAGTTCCAAGGTCAGTGGAGACGCACCATGGCGCCTGGACAAAGCCTGCCCTATTGTGACACTCAGCGTGCCCACATTTTCTCCTCCAGTCCCCCAAACCACCTGTCAGCCACTGCGTCCAAGCACAGGAAAGGCACCCAGCAGAGGGGGAGGCAGGGGAGGGGACTGATGGGGCAAGGCCAGGCAAAAACAGAAAACCGAAGCAACCCCCCTGGTCCCGGGGTGGGAACAGGGTCAGAGGCTTTGCAGGAAATTGATTGAGCCCAGTGGGTGATTTCAACTTTTAAAAAGCGGTGGGGGGACCACAAGAGTGAGAGCTACTTCTTTCCCCTTGTACGGTTTATGTTTTGACAAATGATGTATCCAATGACCAAAATAGAGAAATGGCAGCTTGGAAATAGAGCCCCAGTATTTGGGATTACAGTCCAGGCGGTCAATCGTCGCAGCAAATAGAATGTACAGAATTCCCGTTGCATGCCCAGCACAATGCTGGATGCCATGAGTCAGAAGAAAACTCAGACCAAATTCCTGCCCATTTTTCTTGGGGGAGACAAGACATACCCATGAGACAGGGAGCAAGAGAGCATTCTATATAACTGCATTTATGCTGATCGGATAAAGTGCTAAATCCTTCTGTGCAGACCATGGAGAATAGGACAGGATATAATAAGGTGCTACTTGTGCAGATCAGATGGTCCAGCTGCAGGAGCTGGAGGGGGTGGGGGCTGACATATTGGGGCTGATGTTGGGGACCTTCCCATGGGAGCTCCAGTCTGTTGGGAGGCTCCCCATTTCCTCCCAGGCTGGAAAGATGGATGAGGCCTTCATTCCACAGTGGTGAGAGGGCTGGAACTTCGAGCCCCTGAGCCCATAATTTTCATTGCTCAAGCAGATCAAGGAACAGGCTTCACTAATGTTGTAAACAACACATCTGAATTTTCTTCCACCCGCCCTCTCCAGGCAGCTGCACCTTCCACAGAACGTTCCAGGCATGGAAATGGTTTGTACTTCTTCCTAAACAAAGTGCCTTTCCAAGTTCTCCCAGGGTGGGGGCGTCTCACCAGCATTATTAACACTTCCTAAAACAGGAAAAGCTGTCAGCGAATTTGGATCACAGATGAACTGGGAAAACTCTCTTAAGAACTTCAACTGCTGGCTGAGAAAAATTTAAGTGACCATATTTTATAAACTTCAAAATAGAGACCAAGAGTCATAAGTACTTTGGCGAACTTTAGGACTGTCCCAGAAAGTCCTGTCGTTGTACATACCGTAGAAAGAGCATTGAAATGGGAGTCAGGAAACCTGGTTCTGTTCTGGTGCTGAAATTTAATTGCTATGTGACCCTGAGCAAGTCACTTGATCGCTCTGAGTCTCTTTCCCAGTTTGGAAATGAAGTCTTTGAGCCTTATAGTCTTTAAGTCCTTTCTAACTGGAATATTCCACGAGTTTATAAAATGTTTAAAGAGTAAAGCATTATGGGGGTCAGAGTTGGTCAGAACGCTCAGTCACTGGCCCCCAGTCACACACAATTCTAAAGTTCCCATCAGGATGGCAAATGTGGAAGATCCAGAAAAAGAAACCTCATGACTTCCCCTAAATCAGGGAGGGCAGGTGGAGCAAACACAAAAAGAATGTGTAATGTGGACTTTTCACCCAGAGAACTGGCTTCCACAAAAGGAATTATTAAAATATGTTTTATTTGATGAAATGCTGAATCTACGGTGATTCGGGTATTTCAGAGACTTTGTGGGTGCTGAAGTGGGTCAAACATCATTATTAAAAGTAACGTTGAGAATCCTGTGAGGTTAAACCAAGGTCTTCAAAAAGAATCACATTTTTCATAGCCTACAGCCAATTGCTTTTGGAAAATGGGACTGGCGAGGGAAGAAATGAAAAGCAGATAAAAATCAAACCACAGTGGGGGGAACCTTTGCTCTGAGTGGCCAGTGAGTGTCTCCACAGCTCTTTGGAACATAAAATAAAATGATCCTGCTGGAGTTTAAATGAGAGCCAGATTTTAGAATGGAAACGGTAATTGGGAACGTGTCATTGCAGGTTTCCCCATGTCCTGTTTGTTCTCCTGAGCATGTGAGTGTGTGTGCATGTGCATGTGTGTGTGTGTGTGTGCGTGCATGTGTGTGTTCGGGTTTGTATGCAGTCCATAAGGAACTGTGACTGTGTTCTTCTGCAGTCCATAAGGAACTGTGACTGTGTTCTTCTTACTTTTGATAACTTCAAATATGTGTGCCACCCACAGCAGCTCAGAAAGCATCATTTTGTGTGTGCCATTGGCACCATTAAATATAATACTAGAGGCCCAGTGCACTAATTCATGAACCAGTGGGGTCCCTCGGCCTGGCCTGCGGCATCAGGCCAAAACCACCTCTCTGACATCCCCTGAGGGGTCAGGCCAAAACCACCTCTCTGACATCCCGAAGGACCCCACCAGTGCACAGGGTGTAGGCCAGGCCGAAGGACCCCACCAGTGCACAATCGGGGGCCAGGAAGGGACACAGGAGGTTGGCCAGCCAGGGAGGGACCGCGGGAGGGCTCTAGGGTGTGTCTGGCCCATCTAGCTCAGTCCCGATCGGCCAGACCCCAGCAGCAAGCTAACCTACTGGTCTGAGTGTCTGGCCCCTGGTAGTCAGTGCATGTCACAGTGAGCGGTTGAGTGGCCTTACCATATCATTAGCATATTATGCTTTGATTGGTTGAATGGATGACTGGACACTTAGCATATTAGGCTTTTATTATATAGGACTAGAGGCCCGGTGCACAAGATTTGTGCACTGGAGAGAGGGAGGGTCCCTCAGCCCTGCCTGCACCCTCTCGCCATCCAGGAGCCCTCGGGGAATGTCCAACTCATGGCTTAGGCCCACTCCTCCCACCACCACCGCTGCACTCGCCAGCCATGAGCCCAGCTTCTGAATGAGCAGCAGTCCCCCTGTGGGAGCGCACTGACCACCAGGGGGTAGCTCCTGCGTTGAGCGTCTGTCCCCTGGTGGTCAGTGCACATCATAGCGACTGGTCATTCTGCCCTTCAGTCGATTTGCATATTAGCCTTTTATTATATAGGATATGCTGGGCATATCCTATATAATAGTTATACTTGCAACTTCCAGTTCCCTTTAATGAGCAAATTGAAATTTGGAGAGGTCAAATAAATTGTCCAAGATCTCACAGATATAAAGAGCTGTGGAACCAGGATTCTAACACAGTTCTGACTATAAAACCCTTTGCACTAAGCCAAGTAGCTTCAGATTTTGTATTTAAGTAGGTCTAGATGCTACAGATAGATAGAATTAGGGGAACTGTCCCATCAAAACATTTTGGCCAATGTGACTGCACATGTTGGGACCATGCTAGACACCATGCAATTTCAACAACATTGGACCTGCCCTTCTCTTTCAAGAACTAAGGGTTTGGCTCATTCAGTAAACTTTACAGAGTGCCCACTACCTAGTAGGTACTATGGTCTTCTCTGAGGATTTAAAAGATGAGAGAGACGCTGATTTTGCCTCAACAAGCTTACAACCTAGTAGGAGGCAGATGTGTAAACTAATTAAGATATGATGAATGAAGAGCTCTAATACTGCTGTTGTGATAGTCAGTATAGGCTAGATTATGCAGTGTAACAAATTAACCCCAAAAGCTGAGGGCTTAACATAACAAAGGCTTATCTTTCACTTACACTACCTCTTCACTGTGGATTGATAGGGATCTCTGTTATCACAGTGTTTGACCAGGCAAGCAGAACCTCGAATAGAGTAACACACTTATCTTCAGGCATTGGCTTATGCATTTGTGGTGCCTAGCTAAGCAAGTGGAAGTCTGTAGGGCATGCAGGCAAGAAGGGAATATCACCAGCAAGCTGAAACTTTACTGGCATGAGCCATTTAGAGTTCCTGAGCTCAGGGAAGCCTAAGCCCTCTTTTAAGGGGCTTTCCTGATTAGATCAGGCCCACCTCCAGATAACCTCCCTTTTGATCCCCGCACTTGCAAAATTCAATCACATTTACAAAATTCCTTCACAGAAATACCTAGATCTCTGATTAAAATAACTGAGAACTGTAGTTCAGTCTAATTACGGTGACATATCAGAAAGCATCAGTGTTGTGTGTAATTAACCAGGCCTGCTGACTGAAAAGAAACATCCTCAGTAGTCACAGCAGGCGGAGAGCTGGAGGGACTTGCATGAACAGTTACATTTCAGGTCAAAAATGACATATATATATCCCACGTTCAAAGGCTGTTAAATCACATTGTTTACCCATATCTTCAGAAAAAAATCACTTCTACTGTCGTGGTAAACAACCGGCTTCCCTATTTATAATGGTCTGGCCCTCTAGCAACTTCAGCACGAAATTATAGCTAATTTGCCTACAAACGTCAGGTGGTCATAATAATCTGGACACTCAGTGTATATCACCTCTGCTCATAATCCTCTGGCCAGAACTGGTCACATGGCACCTCCTAACTGCAAGGGTGGGACATTGACCCTCCCTCATGCCCAGAAGGAGAGGAGAGCTGGAGGGGTCTGCCACAGGTGTTGTCAGGGTGCTCTGACCAGCTGTCATCTTTCCCTCCCCATGTTCATTGTTCACAGGGGAAAGCCTGTGCATCAGACTTTGTGATGAGATGAAGACATGCAGGGACTGCCAAGGGCCACACCATGAGTAAGGAAGAAGCCAGGTAAGAGCTCACCTCTCCCTTGCTCCAGCTCACCTCCACCCTGCCTTCTCAGGCCTTCCCAAACAGAAGCTCCTTCCAAACCCACGGAGCCCCGTTTACCTGGAGAAAGTTTACATTTGAAATTGTAGGAACCAGGTGCCTCCCGAAACAGAATGCTCTCGCCAGGCAAGGCTGGCCTCTCTACAGTTAGACAGACCTCTTCAGGCTATGAGACCCTGAAGTTCAAAGAGATTTGGGACTTCTGCATACCTGTGGTCCTGAGAGCTCCACCAGGTGGCTTGCAAAGAGTATTAAGGCAGCATATCAACAACTCCTCTCAAGGAGGGCAGGGACCTTCGATGGATTGGACTCTAGCAATATGTTCACCTGTGAAACTTACCAAAGGCTAAGGGTTGATTCAAAGTGATAATGATCAACCGGAGGAAGGTCAATGGGTGAAAAAAGGAGACGTATGTACTACTCTTTGTAATACTTTAAGCAACAAAATAAAATTTTTTAAAAAAGTGATAATGATCCATGGTCACTGCCAAACAAATGCCATCAGTGTCTACCATAAGTTGAAATAAAGAAAGTCTGAGCAACAGGGACCAGATATGGCCTTTTTCCTTCTAACATTTATTGAGTGCTTGCTGTGTGCCAGACACTGTGCTGAGCACTTTCCACAGAAGATTCATTTAATCCAGTGAGTCTGATATTGAACACATTTTTCCCAAGGTCACAAAGCCAGGAGGTAGTAGAAGCAAGATCCCTACCAAGTCAAACTGATTCCAAAAACCCACACTCCTGCCACCAGAGCCAGCACATAGTGTCACCCAGGCAATGTCCACATGAGTGCATCTGGTCAAGGGAGCAAGTGACGGCTCCATGGCCACCCATGAAACCGGGCCTGGGCTGCCTCAGCCTGGAAGGGGGCCTTTCTCTAAATCTCCCAAAGGCTCCAGAGAAGTGGGGGCAGGATAGGCAGAGCCTTGTTAACCTCTGACCCTCTCCTCTAAAGACCATAAGTCAGGAAGGAACCTATGTCCTCTGACCCCAGTCTCACCTCCTGATGGTCACAGCTGAGCCTTGAGTGCACATGTACTTGTGGGAATATTTCTTGAGAACCTACTATGTGTGCTAAATGCTATCAGAGGATAGAAGATGCATAAGACATGACCTTCACACCAAACTGCTTACAATCTCATAGGGAAAACAGTACAAACACATACTAATAATGTGAAATAAAAGATGACATTAACAAATGAAGGAGACCATAAAAAGCATTCAGAGCACCCTGGGAGCTAGAAGGATTCATTTGTTCACTTAGCCCCAAGGGAGGAAGAAGAGGCCTTCAAGGTCAGCGGCACAGCCTGAGACAAGCCCGAAGCCAAACTGTGCAAGGTGTGGTTGGCAGACATCCCTCCAGCTCACACCAACCAGCTGTCATCTGCAGAGAGCTCAGAGACACCTGCAAGTATAACTTAAGGGAGTCCGTGCCTCAGGACCCACAGCACAGGTGCAGCCACCCAGCAGCCTTGTCAAAGAAGGTCAACAGCCTCGGTACAGATGTAGCACAAGTGAGCACAACGTAGGGGCTGCAGCAAGAAGGAAGGAAGGCTTTGCACAGTTCAGCTCAGGGTTTGGAATTGAAACATGCATCACACTTGCTGGCCCAGCTCTCCTGGTCACAGCCACCCACCCTGGGCTCTCCTGCTCCCAGGGCCCACCTTCCTGGCTCCAGTTACAGCTTCAGGGCCCAGAGCACAGCCAGGGGCTCAGGAGCCTCCTGATGGTGACACTGACAAGTGGGGCCTTCACACCCATCCCTTCCTGATGCTCACCTGCCTCCCCTGACCCCGCTCCCTTCTCTGGGAGTATTGGAGGAGAAAATGTCCTTAGAGAGCATCCTTCTGTGCACCCCTTGCTCCTAACCATCACCCTCCCCACTGGCCCTCCCCAAATGCCATTCCTCCCCCCAACACTCACACACACATTCTCTCCCTCTCACCCTCACCTCCTTTCCCTCCCCCAACCCTTCCCCTCCATTTGTTTCAATGAACAGCCCCTTTTATCTATTCTGTAGGTACAAATGAAGCTGTCAAATTTGATCAGACGCTTGATATGACAGGCTGTGGGAGTCAGGACCCCTTGAACAGAGTGGGCCTTGTCTGTCACAGCCTGCCTGACACTTCCCATAATGCCCAGACTGATGAGATTCTGAGTAGGGCCCAGCACATTTTCAACTCTATTTTGGGTGAAAACCCTTCTTGAAAGATCTTGAAAGGAGCTGGCAGTTCAGCTGCCCGGATGATTAATGAGGGTTGGCTCCGCTGGATGGATTTCTCCTGGTGCCAACAGCCGTCCTCCCAACAGGCTAGAACGTGTTGCCGTTGACTTCCCCCCAGCACTTCCCCCTCATAGCAAAACCCCCAAAAAAACCTTTCCCACCAATCCGAGGACATTCCCCCCCACCACCACCACCCCTCACCTCTGCTCACAGCCACCTCTATCCCTGCATCGCTCCCATTCCTCTCTGGTTTTCTGATGCAGGAGCAGCCCAGCATATGGAAACCGTTAACCATTACAGCTGAGTGAGGCCTGGCTTGAGTGAGCAGGGCCTGCAGGTTTGAGGGGTGCAGAGGGTGGGCTGGGAGGGAACTAAAGAGGACAGGGGCCCAAGCTTCCTTGAGTGCCATGCCACACGCCCCAGTGGTCAGGGATGGGCCTCTCTGCTTTTTCTCCAAGGATCTCAGGAGCTTGGGGACAGAAACCATGGGGTGTCTAAAGTCCCAAAGAGATAAAGCATCAAAGTCTTTGTTTTTCTCTTATCTCCCAGTGTTTCTCAGAGCGGGTACTATTGATGTTTGGAGCAAGAGTTCTTTACTGGGCAGGACCCTTCTGTGCAGGGTGGAAAGTTTAGCATCCTTGGTCTCAAACTTATTTGTAGCACCACCCCAGCCACCTTCAATATGGAGACAACCAAAAATATCCTCTACAATCCCAAATGCTCCTGGGGTGGTACTGGCCCTGGTAAAGGGGCTCCTCCCTCCCTGGTGCCTTGAGGGCCTTGCCCACTTCTCTGCTTCCTTCGGCTCTCACACCCCTCAAGCCCACTCAGCCAGGAAAGCACCACCCATCCCAATACTAAACTTTCTCCTCTGCTGCTTGCCTCAAACCAACCCTGCTCTAAACTCCATATCCTTCCCTTCCTCTTCTGCTTTCCTGTTTTCCCCAACAGTCTATGGCTTATTCACGCTTCAGGGAAAAGAATGGCACCCAAAAATTCTTTGGGTTTTACTTTCTCAGGATCCTTCAGGAACAAGCCAATGGGTTGTAGTTTGGGGTCAGGAATGTGCATTTCTTTTTAAAACATCCATAGATTCCTTTTTCAAGCCAGTCTCCGAGGGTTCGGGACTCTATCAGAGGAGAAGCTGGGTGGCTCCCTATGGCCAGGGCCATCACCGAGATCTCTTATGAAGCAGGCTAAGCACATTCCATGGGCCAGGCCATGGGGATTGCTCCCAAGAATGCCAAGCCACTCCCCATTTTCTTCTTTTCGTTTCCTTCTGAAAAAGAGGGGGGAACCCCACAGTTTACCTACCCCCAGGCCACTGGGTAAACGCCCAATCAGCTCTGAGATCATCCGGCTCCCAGATGGACCCAGCACTATGAGTGCATTCATTCAGCACCATCTACGGGCATCTACCACATGCCAGGCACAGGGCTAGACTCTGGGCATACAATTGTGAGTACAAAGACACACAGTTCCTGCCTTCATGGAGCTTACAGGCTAACAAGGAGGGGAGGGAGGACCTAAACAAATCAATGTATAATTATAAATTGTTATAGCAGCGGTGAAAGAAAAGCAGAATGCACACAGAAAGGGTGCAACAAGGAATGCTCATTTAGAACTAAGGTCAGGGAGAGCCTCTTTGGGAACATGACCTTGAAGCTGAGACCTGAAGGCTAAGTGGTTAGCCAGGTGAAAACGAAAGTGTGTCTCAGGCTGGGGAAATCCACAGCTGAACATCAGCCAAATTCTCCTGTCATGAGGTGCTTTCCATTGTAGCTATGCCTCCAGGAAGGACAAACACTCAGTCACTCAGCTTGAGTCTGGGAAGAACCAGAAGAACCAAGGACTGGGAGGAGAAGGGGAGTGAGGGGTACGGAGGGAGAGCCCTGACCGCCTAGTCACCCTTCAGTCTGGGGCACCAACAACTGCCTTGGCAAGACAGGACCTTGGACCAAGGCAAGCCAGAGGGAGACCAGAAAGTGATTGGACCAAAGAGCATCTCTGCAGAGGGTTAATGAGAGGCCTGGGACAGAGCTTTGAGATCTTCTAGCTCCTGGAGCTGTGGCATGAAGCTGCTGATGGAGACAGAGATTAAACTAATGATCACTCAAATGAATACAAAATCACAAGGTTCTTCCTCAGAGTATGAAGCTTGGGGGAAACTTGGCTTCTGTCTTGCAGAAAGATAATTTTTGAATGAAAAATGGAGGGGTATGTTTCTTACTCTTGGAAACCCATTGGCTGCCCATTGTCTAATCAAGGCCAAACCTTTAGCCTAGTATTCAAACCACCCACAACATGGCCCCACATCCCTTCCCACCCTGCCTGCCAGAACCCTCAGGGGAGCCAAGTGCGACTCAGCTTCCCAGACATCAAGCTCTTGCTTTGAGTTGTTCCTTCTCCCTAAAAAGCCCATCTCCTCACAAGTTCACTGGCCTCATGTTCACCCCAACCAGTCATGATGCCCCTGCTCTGAATCCCTTGCGCCCCTTATTTTTGTCCCCTTTATAGTACTCTATGTGAGGGCCCCTCATTGCCCCTCCAGTGGACCATAAGTTCCTTAAAGACAAGAAGGGTGTTTTATTAATCTGTATGTCCTCCACGTACCTAGAACAGTGCCAGGCACTTAGTGGACAATCAATAAATGCTTGCTGAATTCCATTTAACCAGAAAACAGCTAAAGGGCTTAAAAAGCAGTCATCTTTGAACTGAAGCCATTAGTTGGGTGAGAGAAGAGACCCTGGGGGTAAAACTCAAAGGAGGGACAAAGCCAGAGCCATCAGGAAAGAGAGCATGTAAACCCTGACCAATGGCCTGGCGACCAGTTGCTCCAGAAATCTGTCCTTCTCTGTCCGTCTCCCCATGTGCAGAACTGGACGGGTGGTCCTGAGGCAGCCACACAGGACGCTGACTAGAGCAGTGAACCCTGGAGGCATGCAGAGGAGACCCGCTGGGACTAGGCAGACCATCCGTGACCTTCTTCCTCTACCAACCCACCATGTCAGCTGAAATTCCCCCTCTCAACTCATTCCTTGGAGTTAAAGAATAAAGTCCTTAAAAAAATCATTAAAATGTGCTTGTCAAAGGGGCAGAGGGAGAAGACAACCCTCTTCATAAACCTGTTTGGGAACAGCCAGCACCAGGTAGACAGAGAGCAGGCTCTGCAGGGAATGAGACATGAGACCATTAAGGGGTGGGAAGGAGCCAGGTCAGAAAGC